ATGATTGCCTTTAGAAACTGACACATATAACAAGTGATCATGCAAATTAATTTTCAGTTATTATTTATTTTGAAAGGTTTTTATTATTATTACCATTTCCCAAGAAAAAGGCAGAAAATAAAAGACATAATTTAGAAGCAAAGACAACTTTTATTAATGATCTTAACAGTTATAGCAAACAGATAAGCCCTACAACATCAATACTTCCACCTTGGGCAGAGTGAAAGCTTTTCAAAAAGAAAGAAACAGATTAACAAAACAAATTACTTTGAAATATGTATGCAAGAAGGAATATCAATGGTGACCCAGTTCTGAACTCGGACTCCATGCGTCACATAATTCGGTACTTCCTGCTCTGCTTCATCCTCTTCAACAGCATAAATTCCAGAACCAATCGGATGGAGGTAGCCTCCGTTGCGGAAAACATCATGATAACTGTTCACAGAATACTTTAACTTCAAACTTTCGCCTTTTCCATTCCTCGAAGAGAAACCCAAACCAGCTCTATTTTTGTTCACAGGTGGATCCACAAGTTGTCCCCAAACTGCATTATTACCATTGCGCACAACCTGCTACGCGTCCTTCAAGGAAACCACAAAATTCTCATTCTTCCTTATGTTGTCAATGGATAGGGCTTGGAACTGGGTTCCAACAGCAGCCTCATCCGCTTCTACAATACTGAAAGAGGATAGATGGGATATCAACAACGCTTGCTCCCCATTTATGATCACGACCTTCCCTTCACACACAAATTTTAGCTTTTGATGCAGAGTTGATCTGACAGCCCCTGTTTCGTGTATCCATGGCCGTCCTAGCAAACAACTATAGGCGGGAATAATGTCCATTACCTGTAAAGTTATCAAGAACAAGTGTGGTCCTATGTGGATGGGCATGTCCACTTCACCGATGACAGATTTCCTCGACCCATCGAAAGCCTTCACAATGATGCCACTCAGGAGGATAGGTGTTCCCTGATACTTTAACTTCATGAGAGTACTTCTCGGTATAACATTCAACACAAATCCATTGTCTATTAGCACATTGGACAAAGAATCATTCTTGTAATTCATAGATATGTGGAGGGCCAGGTTGTGATTCCTCCCTTCATCTAGTAACTCATCATCGCAGAAACTCAAGTTGTTACATGACGTAATGTTTCTAATTACGCTGCTGAATTGATCCAACGGCATGTCATTCTCTACAAAAGCTTGGTCTAGTAATCTCATCAGTGATTCTCTATGAGCAGAGGAATTCATTAATAAAGCTAGGATGGATATCTTTGAAGGAGTTTGCAATAGCTGGTCCACAATTTTTTAGTCGCTCATTTTAATTATTTTCAAGATATCATCCACTTCTTTCTCCAATGTGGCTCCACTAGTCTCTCCTGTAGCCTTCTTTGGCTCATCATTCTCAGCAATTTTCTTTCTAGCCACAACGTCTCTTCGAATAACCAGCACAAACACTCGACCACTACGGGTCACCCTGCTATTATCAGCTATATTTCCAACATCTGGCATTGGCTGGATGGGAACGTCCACCCCATCTTCCAAGATTGTAGCGTTGCATTTGTAAGGCACAACCTTATCTGATTTATAGGGAACGGGTCCTGGAAGACTAATTACCAATGGGGTAACAACTGGTTTTCTATGGCATTCCACCTCAAGGTGAGCGGGTGCATGAAAATAAGGTACAATGACATTTACACCTTCCTCGACACACTCAGCCCTCAAAAGACCATTTCCGGTAAACAAATCTTCGTCTGAAGAGAAATACTCATCCGCAGAGGCATATTCTTCCTCTGACTCTTCTCCCATCAAACACTACGCCAAATAAGCTATTTAATAGCGCTTTTTTGTTTTGTTTTTGATAGCACTTAAAAGTGCTATTAACCGCGCCACTATTGTAAATATTTCTTATTTAATAGCACTTTAAAAGCGCTATTAAAGTACCAATTTATAATAGCGTTTTAATTAAAGTGCTATCAAAGTCAGTATTTTGCATGTTTTTTGTTTGTTTTTTTATAGCACTCTAAACAAAAAGCGCTAATATATAACATATGTTTGATAGCGCTTTCAAATAAAGTGCTAATAAATGGTACATATTTGGTACAATATTTTTAATAAGTACAGTACAATATTTTTTCTTACACAATCATTTTTTTGGGTGTAAATATAAAATAACTATATTCAATTCAACACAAATAACGCTTTAAGTTACTCATTGCATATATATTATGATCCATCAAATACCAAATAACATTTTAAATTACCAAATCCTATTGTTTCCAAATATCATAACATATAGAATATTAAGAGGGCGTTTGCATAGCCAAATTTGTAGATGCCCATCTATGAGTACTTCAATCCAAATCCAAAAACATACAATCAAATTCTCTAAACAAAACACCAAAAAAATAAGAAAGGATAACAAAACAATCCCATGTAGTAACCACCTTCATGATCCAAAAGCGTTGAACTCATAGATACAATCACTAATTAGGCAAAATAATTGCTTCTTGTTTTCCTGTATCATAGAAGGAATATTGATTATGTATTGTACAATAAAAACTAATTCAACATATAAAGAATAATCAAACATTTAATATGGGTCTAACAAGAAGCGCATAAAATAAGGAATGATTATTATAAACTAATAACAATAAATCGATATAACTAATGCAATAATTGAACTAATTAAGTCTAACAAGAACATGACTTGTAAATATATAGACCACAATTTCCATTATTAGATGCATATAAACACTAAACAGAATATAATTCAAATTCTCAAAATATACATAAACACTTAATTGTGTGTAACTTTCTTTTCATGATCCAGAACTAGATATCAAACACCTTACAATTGTTACTACGAATATCTAAAAATTTCAAGTAGAAACGGAAAACTATAAATCAATCATACAATAAGATATAAGTCATTTTTCCGTATTTTCCTATTTCAAAATTTAAATTCGAGACCAAGAAAGAACACTCAGTACCTCTGTGCCATATCTTCTAAACCAATAAAATACTAAAATCATTTATACGACAACTCTAAATCCAACTCAAAAATTAAAATTAAACATCTAAGTCAAAACATTTGAACTCTAAATCCATGAGTAATATTTGTCTTGTTTATCAAGTATCAAGTCAAGGAAAAACTCACCGAAAACATCATCCACCACATAAGTAGCCCAATCCTCCTTAACCTCAGTTAACTTATCATGAGAGTAGGTACGACATTTGTGGTCAAAAAAGTACTTCAAATATGAAAACATCAACAATTAATCGTGTTAGAATTAAATTATATTAATTTAATTTACAAAAGAATAATAATAATAATTAAAATCACGTACATTTGTGGGGATCATAAATTCATTTTCCATGATGACCTCTTTCATAAATCGCATTACAAAGTATCCACAATCAACGCCATTAATTTGATGTTATAATCAGTAACATGTTCTATCATGAAAGAAGAGAATGTATGCCTTCAAAACTCCCTAAAACCTATCTAGAATACATTCTCAGCAAGAAAAAAATCATGAGAAGTCAGTAATCATTGTTGTTAGTTCAGCCATATTACTTATAGCTACATTAATTTAATGCAATTGATATCCAGAAAGAACATGAGGATAGATGAAACAATTCTAGAAGTCATCCTTAAATCAACAATCTTTTCTGAACCAAACCCAATTCATTGCACCCTACTGGCTATGGCTACATACAAAAGCATTGAATCAAATGATCACAGCTTTGATATGGAATTCAGAGATATAAAATATGTGAAAATCGGAAAATAGAACTACATTGAATTACACAATGAGCCAAAGGATGGTAGGCCCCCCATTAATAGCACTTGAAGAAGGAGATAGAAGTTCCCCAAATCTAGCTCCGTCATGTGTCCATAAAAAGCAAGCCTTGGGCTCACCATGCAAAATTATTTAAAAAAATGTAGCCAGAAAGACGTCGGGAATTCACTTTCTCCACTCAGAACCAAAGTATGATTTGTTAAGAAACTTATCCAACTCACTGATCACAAGCTTCTGTAAAACCCAGACTAACAATTAAGCTATACACTTTTTTTTTCTTCAAAAAGTGACACCACCCACTACTTCATTAGCTATTAAAATAGTAGTCTAATACTTGTTATTTACAAAAAAGTAGCTATGGTTCTTCAAAAAGATTTTTGATATAATAACTCCCCCCTACTTAAATAAAAATATTGGCAAAAGACCAATTCAACAAATAGTCAGTTAGTCTTTTGTGCTCCTCTTGAACCCTAGTCATTATGAACCTTCCTTTTTCCAAATTAGGCAGGTCAACCAATTGATCATAAAAAAATCCCATTTTTGGTCTTACATATTTGATATAATTTCATGATCACATATGAACCCTCATTTATTTATAGCTTTTTGTCCGTGCAAAGAAAGTTGCATGTTTGGCTAAAACATAGCTCACATGTAAAGTCCAAAACGTTTATGAAAAAAAAAATCTCCCCAAAAGCACTGATTATGAGTGCTATACAATTTTAAACAAAAATAAAATATCAAATCATGAATAGCCAAAGATAAATTTCAAACCTTGAATCGTATCAGTTAGTGCGATTTGAAGATTCAGTGAAAATAGCTTTACATATATCACATAAATGACGAATGGTGCATAATCTGACCAAACAAGGTCTCAACTTCTTACTATACAAAATCATAACCACAAGTCATAACTGAGTACCAATATCAGCTTATTTAAGAGCTAATCAAAAACAAAACAAAAAAACAAAAGTAACCAAACACACTCATGAGTCATAATACTGTGTTCCAAATAAATATCCCAAGTACACTATCACATGCTGTTTGTGGACATTGAATAATAATTTCATGTGATGAGTAATATATTATAGAAAATAATATAATGTTAATGCCATTCTTCCACTCATAGACTGAGACTACAAAAAAATTACTGCATGAAGCCTATGTTTCAAAAGAACAATAGCAGAGAATATTATAGTAAATGAGGTGTGGGTGATAGGGTGGGTGAGCAAGGGGATGTATGAAGCCTCTGTATCAGAAGAACTGAAAGATACTGGAATACAAAAAAAGAGTTCAGAGTGAGTAGGGGCTTATGTGTAGCCCTTCTCAAAGATTCACTCTTCTGTTCGGCTGTATTTTCTATTTTTGCAAAGAGTTTAAACAATCATTTTTAAATTACAAGATATGATTTCTAAAATCACAAATCTATGAGATTTAGATCCATTTAACTTACGTTATATAATCAAGTGAATACTTGTAAGCATAATATATAGCATGTACCTTTTCAATATTCTCCATCATGACACCTTTGACTTCAGAAACCTGAGCTTTCACCTTAGCAAGCTTGCTCACCTCCTCAGGATGATCAACACAGTACTGCATATGTTCCTTCAATTTCGGCCTGCCACAAATAAAGATCAAAGCACATAAACTTTCTTTAAACAACAGTCACAAAACAAACCCAAAATCATCAAACTCAAAAAGCAAAAACTCAATACCCAAATTCCTTATTAAGACTGTTAGGCGCAGCTGTAGAAGCCTTCCCACCGCCATATTTCGCAACAGAATCATCCTTCACACGCTCCAGAAAAGCCACAGGCACTTGTCTTCCAACCGATTCATCCGCAACAACACAATACGCTACAAAAACACCAAAATCCATAAAATCAGTACTGTAAAATATATATTACTCTTCAAACACCAGCACCTAATTAAAATCAACCTCTAGATAATTAATTAATTAATTAATTAATTAAATAATAAGCATATAAAACACAAAAATCACTGAAGAACAACGCTAACCTAATATCACTTTTTATAGTCAAATAGCGTCAACATACATATATAACTAATTTCTAGGTTATAATTTGTTAATGAAATCGAATTTAGAACTAGGTTTTCGTTAGATCGGAAATGAAATGAATTGAGATTAAGATTAAGATTAGGATTAAGATGAAAAAAAGGTGAAAAGTACGAACTGTAGCCATTATCGACGAGGTAATTGAAGGTGTGGCCATCACAGTTGTAGGTGAATTTGTTGAGTTTGGCGGAGAATGAGATTTGGTTGTTCTTTCTTTTCGGTGTTTCCTCCTTCTGTTTGAGTGTCGTTTGAGAAGTGAATCTGAATCTGAATCGATGGTGAATCCGATGGCTGAAGAATGGATCCGGGTGAAAACCGAAGGAAGGGATGACGGTGGTAAATCAATGACTAACGGCGGTGAATCAATGAAAACCGAAGGAAGCAGAGGAAGATTTGACGGCGGTGAATCAGCTGGGAGAATCAATGGCTAAGAAGGAAGCAGAGGAAGATAATGTGTTTGGGAGAATCAATGGTAGTGTTTTTGTTTTTGGCGATGAGTGGATGCGGGAAACCCAATTTTCTGAAAATGTGTTTTTTTTTTTTATCAATTAATTAATTAATTCATTATTATATATAACATAGCGCTTTTTAATAAATGCTATTATATAGGTAGTCAAATAATAGCGTTTTATACAAAATGCTATCTTAAAGAAGTTTAATAATAGCGTTCTGGTACAAAGTGCTATCAAAATTACATAGTCTGTATTATATAATAGCGCCCGATTAAAAAGTGCTATTATAAATGTGTTTTTTCCATTTTAATAGCATTTTTTTTAAAAGTGCTATTAAATTAGGTGATACAAAAAATCATTTTTGGCGTAGTGAAACAAACTTCAACCATATCAATCTGGTGATAATCATCTCTCCGACCTGTGATCTTGATAGTCCCATTGTCTAACAGAAATCGAACACCCTCTCTCACAATAGAACATACTCGGGGGTTTCGACAACAAACTATGCAAGATCCATATTGGTGTTCCACCTGACCGGCAACACGGCAGAAAATAGCATGTAACTATACGAGATCTTCATTCAAATGCTCCACATCAAAAATTCTGAATTCTCCAGGACATCCAGAAACCATATTCACTTCCTCTTCATACTCTGCCCTAGGCCTGATTATATGGATTAAACCTTCATCCATCATCTCATGTAAATCAGCCTTTATATTCTCGCAACCCTATATGTTTTTACTGCAAATAGCACAACCGGCTTGGTCATGCGTATAATAACTAAATTCACAGAGGTCTGCGTGCATTTTCACCAAATTCCCTCTAACCAAATTAATGTCAAAAATCCAGAAGTCACCTAGACAACCGGACACCATATTCACAGCACTCACTCCCCCATGCTTGGGCAGAGGATTGTCTTTCACATTAGGTCCCATGTATTTGAAAGATAAAATTCCGGACTTTACCAACCTTTGCACTTCCGTCCTCAAAGGATAACAATTTTCAACACTATGCCCTGGTGCTCCATGATGAAAGGCACACATCTGGTCCGCATTGTAATACCAAGGCAATGGTGATGGTATTGCTGGAGGTGGTCGTGTCTGGACCAACTTCTTCTGGACCAATGCTGGTAGTAGCTCTGCATAACTCGTGGAAATAGGGTCATAGTTCTCCCTTCTTTGATTATTCCCTTGGTTCCCCTGCTGGGACTGTCTTTGATAAGCAACAGTAGTTGGGGCGGCATTCATAATAGGATTCACTGAGGCAACTTGCTGGTGACATTGATAATTCCTTCTAGGAACATTCACTCTCCTCTCTTGCATGACAACATTGGTATGCCCTTCTTTCTTCTTTGTAAACCCATAAGCTGGCTTCTTCACACTTCTGGATCCTTCACCCTTTGTCAAACGGCCTTCTCTTACTGCCTCTTCTAGGCGAACACCCATTCCTACCATCTCTGTAAAATCACTCGGGGCACTTGCTACATTCTTTTATAGTAGAAAGCACTCAGCGTCTTCAGAAAAATTTTAGTCATTTCCTTCTCCTCTATAGGAGGAACCACTTGTGCAGCCACTTCGCGCCATCTCTGCGCGTACTCTTTGAACAATTCTCTATCTTTCTGAACCATGGCCCTAAGCTGGTCACGGTCAGGCGCCATGTCCACATTTTACTTGTATTGTTTTATAAATGCTTCTCCTAAGTCATTAAAGGTATGGATGTTGGCGTTGTCTAAAATCATGTACCATTTCATCGCTGCACTGGTCAGACTATCCTGGAAAAATTGAATCAGCAGACGCTGATCATCGGTGTGGGTATACATTCTCCTTACATACATCACCAAGTAAGCACGAGGGCAAGTGTTACCCTTGTACTTCTCAAACTCCGGGACCTTGAACTTAGCAGGCACTTTAAGATTCGGGACCAAACACAGCTCATTCACATTCTGCCCAAATAACTCTTTTCCCCTAAGAGCCTTCATCTCTCTTTTCATTCTATCAAACTGCTTTTGGAAATCATCCATCCTGTCATAAACACCCAAGTCTTCACTCAGCGGAGGGAAAGGACGACACACATCTTCATTAACAATCGAAACCAAATTCACCGAAGGAGGTGCAGGAGGAACAACATGCACAACAAGGGGTGCTGGAGTAACAACATTTGGAACCAATGGAGCATCTTGGGGTCCCAAATTGAAACTTTCAGGTGCAAAATTCTTTGGGACTCCCCACAGATAACCCTGAGGCATGCGGTTTTGAACAACAGTCGGAGTAGCGGATACAGGAAAAGTAGGAACTTCAGCATTTACCCTTGTTGGTTGAGGTTGAACACTCGGTGGATGATTCTGAGCAACCACCAGAGTAGTCAAATTGGCCAAGCCATCCTTCAAAGCAGAAACTTCTTCATGTAGCTCGCGATTCTCCTGTTCTAAGTTGTCCATCTTCTTTTTGAAATTAGCCCGAGTGTTGTAGTGATGAGTCAGCTTGCTGAATGAAGTAAAGAAGCTGGGTAAGAAACCTGGGTATGCATAACAAATGCAAGAAATATGTGCAATATGATTCATGATATGCAATGCATATGATTATTTTTACTTTATTATTTAACATTTCAAGGGATTTAACGTTTATAGACATATTGCGAACATCAAAATAATAACGCATTTGAAATACTGAAAACTTTTATTATAATAACTTCAAAATGGGTTACAAGTTTCAATGATCCCCAGTACAAGATGAAAATACAATCTAAAATCCTGAGAAAAGGAACTGATAGAGATCAATCTGTACGCTGGCACTTCCCTGTGAGCCTGGCAATCTGAGCTCTCAACCTTTGGTTTTCTTCCACATGTCTGATGGCAACCTCCTTCCAATCATCTGAATCAGGAAGTGAACAACCAGCACCTGTTTGAGGCTTAGGGGAAAATGAATCCCCTTGCCTCTCCATAGACTCTACCGCTCGACTCTCAAGGATCTTGATCAAATCATCTTTCTCTTTCAAGTATGGTCTATAGGAACTCTCTAAAGTCTGGAACTTATTCTTCCAGACATCCCTTTCCTGTTGCATCCTAACCAAAGCAAGTTACAACTCCTCTAGATCATCTAACAAAGGAGGAGTGTTCTTCATAAATAGATCAGGCACGGGTGTCTCCCGAGTATACGACATCTTCAACTGAATGGCTTTTGATCGGACCCACTGAAGATATGGCTCCAAAGAAACAACACCCCTAGGTCCCAAATCCTTCCTAATCTTCTTATGAATGTGACGTCAGGCCTTCGCAATCTGCTCCCTAGCTTCCCTATGGTCTTCTCCTTCCTTCAGAAAGAAACTACTCAAATGAATGCTGTTTGGTTTATCCCTCATCGGATAACCAAGCTGTCGCCGCACAAGAACAGGGTTAGAGTTAATTCCCCCCTTTGTACCAAGAAGAGGTACATTGGTGAAACTACCATAACTGTCAATATTCTCCACATCCTGATAAGCTCGATGATACCAATCAACATCCGAGTGAGTAAGTGCCATGATCTTAGGATCCCAACGAGGTTCCTTCTTGACATCCCAAAATGCATCAGACTGAGGCATATGAGAGATGAACCACCGGTACAACAAAAGCGTGTAGAAGATAATCATTCCCCCATGATAAGAATTCCGAAGATGAACAGAGTAATAAGCATCACCCAACAGTGTAGAAACGGGGTTTCAAATCATGAAAATCCTAATGGCGTTAATGTCGACAAACTTGTCCACATTAGGAAATAAGAATAATCCATAGGCAAGTAAAGCAAAGATGGCCTCAAAAGCAACCATACTTTTCATTCTAGCAAAGTAACGAGCTTTCTCCAATAAGAACTGAGCTGGTAATCCTCTAATCCCTCCTTTAGTAGTCATATGGGCTTCCACCTCAGACTTCCCCAGATGAATTAAAGCAGCAATCTCATGTGGTTTTAGCTCACCCTCCAAACCAGTAAAAAGAACACGATTGGTAACGGGTAAATCCAATATATAAGAATACTCCTCCAGTGTAGGCATCAACTGATAATCGGGAAAAGTAAAGAAGTGATACATCGGATCATAGAACTGGACCAAGTTCAAGAGAATACCCTCCTTCATCTTCAGCTTCATGAGAGGAATAATGGATCCATACTTCTTTCGAAAGTCTGCAGAACACTCAATCTATGGAATTAGACTGATCAACCCATCTATCTTGGGATCCTTGAAACTGTATTTCCCAGTCTTTCTCTTTCCAGAATCCATGGTTAAAAGTACCTGAGATATTCACAAATAGTCAACCTTTAAATACCTTGAAATATTATCTTTAAAAGATGCTTATGAGTGAATGGATGCATGATGCAGCAACCACATACATGATCAAACATATAGGGTTCATAGGTTCAACGTCACGAGCATGAGGTCGAAGGTACTACCCATAAGGTGTTGGTCTAAAAAGATATCACCTTCCGAACAAGGTTCTAAAGGTTCTCAGAGTCTACATCCTTCCTTAGGATATTACCAACTTCCCGATTAACTCGGTAATTAGTAATATTCTTAAGAAAGATTCGTTCAAGCGTAGTATCGCGTGACAACTATTTCCAGATTACTCCATCATAGCTTCCGCACTACACCTAAAAGGACAAGATGGGTTTGGTATTCTACGGTCCTCAGTTTCAGCAGGCTCCCAGGTCGAAAGAAGTACGCCTTCCCGATTACTCGGTAAACGACACTACAATCAAAGGGGCCTCCACTGAGTGGGGGATCTCATGCCTCCTTTTTTGGGATTACTCCCTCAAAGTTAACATGACTATACCGCCCGTCCTATCTTAAAGTTTTCCCAAGTCCGGGTATAGGACTTATGAGTAATCACCAAGCACCCTGAAAACCAGGAAAATCCAAAGAAACATATATACAAAATATAACACATAAACAACAATAGCACATCAACAAAGATATGCTTAACCCACTTGGGGATGGACCAGCAAGAGGTCAATCTGTCCCTAGTGAAGTCGCCATTTTTCTGTAGCGGTAGAAATGTTCAAGACTAAGCCATTGGATTGACTAGCCTTTATACAAATCAAAATAAAAATCTCCACCGCACTTTATTGTTTCCAAAGGAATGGGAAAAGAGCGAATAACCCAAAAAGAGGGGGAAAGATTCAAGGTAAGGGGGTTGGTTATGCAAAGGGAAGGTATTACCACCCTAAACATCTACGGTACTCCACAGGAACCTCTTTGTAAAAATCTGTATATTTTGGCTATAAAATGTGTTATATATAAAATGGATGGTGGAGGTGAGAAAAGAAATATTTTTTTATGATTTTTGCACCCGCCGCGGTTGCGAACCTTTAGTGCCTACGTACTACCTTTTGTGCAATAGGGGATTAGGGTACACATAGTTCCTCTTTTAAAAATTTGAAACACAAATGTGTTGGTTAATTTTATGAGATAAGACGTCATCGTCATTGTCCGTGTGGAAAACATACTTACTACCCAAAATCATGAGAAAGGAGAATTTGCATCATCTCAAAGTGGAGGATATGGCTTGAATTTTAAAATCAACAATGCCTCACTCAACACCCAAGTGGAAAATATCTCACTTCACTATATATTGTAGAAGTATATTTGTTTGCATCACTACAAGGATTGACAAGAGTCTAACCTTTTGAGAAAAGTTTTAAAGATAAAAACCAAAGTGGCAAAAATGGTTTGAAATGAGATTGATTGACTTTTAGTCTTCTCACAAAAAAAAGTGTCAAAGTATTATTAAGTGGATTGAAGTTTATTTATGAAGATGATTTTGAAAATGCATGGACATAAGTCCAAGTTTATTATGAAAGCATCTAAAGTTTTAGAAACAAGAATAGTTTTCAAAAGGAGGAAGAGGATTTTTGAAATTAAATAAGATGTGAGGAGAAGAAGAGACTATCCTAAAGCATAAGGTAAAAACTAAGGAGAAGATTTATCTAGCCAACAAGAAGCCAAAGCTTGACATTATGAGCCAAGATAAAATTCCCATTCTTTGGATTGAAACCAAGCAAGCAAAGATACTAAACCTCTTAAAATATATTAAGTCTTCACAAAAATTGGGCAGAGTAACGGCTGTACACGGATGAATTCCAGATTACAAATGGAGAATGTAATCACAAAAACCGGCACACAAAAACAAACAAGCAACCCAATGTCTTGAGGTAAATCTCAAGAGCTCTAGACAAAATAATCAGATAAGATCACAAGGTATCCAAGATAGGCCAAAGTTTCTAATCCTAAGTCCAAGAAAAAGTCCCATGCTCCATCATGCCAAGGATAGTAACCAAATAGTCCAAGTACCATTGGGAGTTTTTTAGGGTTTAAGTTGGTTATTAAGTATCTTAGAAAAAAGAAAAAGAAAAGCTCAAGTGAGCAAAGTAAAAATGACAAGAAAATAAATGCTCAAAAGAGCAAATATGAAAATGGCATG